GCGAAGGCCTTGGTTACGCCTGAGAGTCGGGGGAGGTGGCTGGTCAGTTGATCAGGCCGGCAGCGCTTTGAAGTATACGAGAAGGCACACGCACGGTGGTACGTGTGTTGCGAAGACCTCCTAGAGCAAACTGTTCCATGGGTATTTATCCCCAAATCTGCACATCGCTTTCCCGCGCTTGCATATTACCATATATGGCCCAATGGTCACCAAGTGGGGGGTCTGTGTCCCAGGGGTTGGGCCGAAACTGTGCAGGTTTCATGCGACCAGGTAAGCCCCGCAGTTCTCACGCCAAGGTGACGGGTGGGAGAGTCTGAGGCTATTTTCCCCTTTTCACACCTTTCCTTTTTCTAAAGGCAATGGTATGCAGGAAGGGTGCGGCCGGTTTCTCTCAAGGAGTACTGCAGAACAAGAGCAGCCTGGCCAAACTTTTTTACTGGGGGGGGGCAGTTTCTTTTCTCTGACAAGTTTGAGCACACGGTGCATCCTGCTAGAAGTCAGATGTGAAGAGGTGTGCATACCCTGCAACGAACCAGGAGGGGTTAAAACCCTGTGAGCAGAGAAAATCCTGCCCCTTCACCCAGAATGGGCAGGTTCCACATGCTGAAGCAGTTTAAAATGGAGTGGCTCAGCTCAGTCTGGGCTGGCTACAGGACGAGAAGGACCTCCAACATGAACTCTAGAGGTGCTCCTGCCAGAGACCCAGACTACAGGAGTCAGAGGCCTGGGAGATCTCTTCAAGGTACTAGTGCTTAAGAAACCCCAGGGCAAGGTGCTTGCAGTGAAACGGGAGGACTCGGAGACCACATGGAACAGCTCCACTGCAGCTCTGGTAGGAAGTGACCCAGGGAGGGTGCTGGAATAGTATCTCTCACCTGAGTGAGCTCAGCGTGTTGAGGTCAGATTCCCCACTGAGCAAGTGGTGGAGCACTCTGCCATTCACAGGGCTCTGGGTTATGGCCCAGTGGAGTAGGGTGGGCTGGGGTTCACCAACTGGGGCTGTTGTCCCAAACTATTGACTCTGGCCATTCGGCTGTGCGCCCTGAACTGAGAGCTAATGCTTTTGACTTTGGCCATTTGGCTATGTTGCCCTTAATGGAGGGCTACCCCTCCTGATGCTAGCCATTAGGCTGTACTACCCTAGACTGAGGGTTGTTTTTACAGACTCAACGAGATTGCTGATAACCTGTTAGCTGACTAAGCAGCATCTACACCCCTGGATCTCTGCACCCCAAAGGACGGGGTGTGCATACACTGTGGTAATTTTGTCTAAAGCATAATCATATCCCTATCCATGGAATCTTGACTCCGGCCTTATTCCTATTCCTCTGACTTTTATCTCATTGAAAACACAATAGCCCTTATTGGCTACTCATCAAGCAGCTCTAGTTAAATGGACTATTGCTTGCTCACTCTCCAAAATCCACACAATTTGTCCTTTTAGAAAGTGTTTCTGAACTATTTTTATGTCTCTGAAAAGTGCTGTGAAACACATTCTGATAAGGGCACTTAACTGACAAACTCCCATGTAGAGAGGTAAATTGAGTGAAGTAATAGCTTTTATTGGACCATCTTCTGTTGGTAAGAACTTCCTCATCAACAGAAGCTGATACAATGAAAATAATACTTCACTCAGATTGTATCTGTGATATCCTGGGACTAACCCCAATACAATACTGCATCCAAACTCCCATGTAGCCTGGAATTGGCACTATTTACTCATGGATCTCTTCTACACCACTTCCTGCAGCTCCCATTGTCAACAAACGGCGATCCACAGCCAACAAGAGTTGCGATTGTCTGTACCTGCAGAGGTGCAGGTAAACAAATTGTCTCATGGCCAGCTAGCAGCTTGTCGTTGCAAGCCGTGCCCCAGAATTTGCAAACTCCTGGAACAGAGTACAGGTTCCCTGGTTCACATTGCAGAGTTAACCTCTTATGTGAAGTTTTCAATATATACAACTTAAAAGATCTCTCATAAGTTCAGGAACCAAGTTCAATTGTAATAACTGCCAATTCACTGGTTTTTTACATCACTTCAGAGCTTGAAGGAAATAACACTTGATACTATTCAGATGGTGTCCTCCAATCAAAGCTGATACTAGCAACTGACATCCATTTTTAAACTTGATTACCAGCATCCAAGACTCTTGGCTTGCATGATATGAGCCTCCGAAACAGATGCTAAAGCCCCTTTCCTTCTGTGTATGCAATATTTTGATGATGATATCCCATTGTATTACTCTGGAAACACATTCCATACCTCAAGATCTCTCACATATTCTCCTAGCAGTCACAGAAAAATAAAAAAAATGCAGTATTACGGCTCCTGCCAGCTGTTTCCATCTGCCTCAAGAAATAATCTTGCAGGCAAAATAAAAAAACAAAAACAAAACTGAAAGACAACAGCCTCAGCCAGCAGAAGGTGACCTATTTAAGTGCCATTTAATCCTCAAATAACTTCAAAAGATTGTCATGTATCAGACATTCTTTACTCACTCAGAGAATCTCTGCTCTCCATGATTCTGAACAAAGACAGAAGGCTAATAGACACAAAGCCCAAACTGAGACTCACACAAACCAGGCTCGTAGATTTGTAGAGTTTAAGGACACAAGGAACAAATGTGATTTCTAGTCTGATCGTGTGTATATCACAAGCTAGAAAATTTTACCCAGTGACTTCTGCATTATGATTACACACTTTTGGTTGAACTTGCCATGTTTTTTGGAAAGACTTCCTTTTCTTTCATCTTCCTCTTTTAGCAATAAAAATGTGAGGTGAGAAATACAAAATATGCATTTGACACATGGGTGGGAGCAGTGAAAGCAACATTATATTCCTTAAGAGGTGACACTTGTACTGTAGGTTTCATGATTGGGTTAATGTTAAAAGGATATGGATTCTGGTTTTACAGAAGCTTTAAACTGCTGTAACTCCACTGGCTTGAAGTAAATGGAGTTACTCTCGATTTACACTAACTTGAATGAATTTACTCATAAATTCCCATGAGACCTGTGATCAAATCACTTAGGTGCTTTTATGAAATATGACCATGATACTATTTGATTTCATATAAGACTTACCTCACAATCTAGTTATCAGTGAGTTACAAGATCTCATTACCTGTAGAATAGTATGTATTAGCTTAGACTCCCCCAAAACTTGGATCATCCTAATTTTAAATGAAATTTAGAAAACAAAAGACTCATTTCATTAGGAAAATGTTGCATATGCAATATTTTACATGATAATCAAGAAATATTAAATGACAGATATGCCACTACTTTACTGCTGCATACAGGTATAAGCAAGTGCTAAATAACATTAGATTCATATCTTAATAGGGAGACTAAATTCTTCCAGCTGTGCCCAGATAAATCCATACTAAGTTAAATTAATGTTAATGGGTAAAGGTTTCCAAGGGCTACAAGGTCTAGGAGTGGATTGAGTGCTGGCTTAGGGGTCAGGTGAGTGACTTGCGTTCTGTTACTGGCTCAGTCACTGACCTGTTGTGTGACCCTGGTCAAATTACTTCACCTCTCTGTGCCTTGGTTTCCCCTCTCACCCTTTGTCTGTCTTGTTTATTTAGACTGTAAATTCTTTGTGGCAGTATATGGTTTTACAGTCCCTAGCATAATGGATCCTTGATCTCATCTGGGACCTCTAGCTCATATGCAAATAACAATGCTAGGTCATAAGTCTCTAATTCACATCACCCTTCAGTACCTTGATATGCATTCCTACCGTTTGTGTGATTTATATGTAAGTGCCTCCTGCATTAAAAGGAAAACAATTTTCTCCTCCTAACTCAGAAAAATATTCCAAATGCAAAAGAAGATAGGTACTAGAAATAGTATAGAAATTGCTGTTTCATTATGAGGGTCACATTTGCATTACTTGACACTCTTAGTATAGCAGTTTGCAGAACCTGGAATAGCAACAAAACCTCTGAGAAATAAGGGATTTTATTCAGACAGAACAGTGGTGAAGAAGAAGGTCCCACGGTTGGCATTAGTTGGGGTCACGTGCAACCTTTGTCTTAATGTGCTTGCCTCATTTAAAATTTGGAAATCTAGTCAGTCTAATTGGACAACCTGCTAATGCAGGTAGAATTTTATGTTGTCTTCCACTTTTTTAATTCTGGGGTCTGTCAGATAAGAATACGGCAGTGAATTAGCTGTTTAAAAGAAAGGGATATTTATCTGAAAAATGTTATCTATACTGTTAAAATAAGATTAAATTCCACTTAAAAAGAGATTGAAATAAGGAAAATTTAATAAACAAATATGTACTATATGTTTATCATTAATATAACTTAATCTATATTTTAGAATACTCTAAGAACATTGTAATTAAGGTTTAGCTGGCTTTTCCATTAATTAAATTAAATTGGGCTTGAGCTTGTTATTCACAATAACAACCCAAATGTGAATTATTTTTATTAGAATTTTTAAAGTATTTAATTATATTAGCTTAAAAAAAGATATTAGTATAATATGGACATATATTTGGATGACTTTAATGTTAAAGTTATACTGTAGTGACATGACCTTAACTTTAAAAAATAAAGTGAGCTAAATAAGTTTAATATATCGGGTTTGTAAAAGACATGTAAAATGTTAGC